GAATTTTTGTCGCGTTTCAAGTTCTTCCTTCTTTCGAAAGCAAAGAACTTAACATTTAATAACCCTCTGGAGCTTGTTATCGTTGTTGTTGTTGCTGCTGCTGTTGTTGTTGTTGACAGAGTGAAATAACAGAATATTGTCAAGTTCCATTCTACCGAAAAAGAATATTAAGTCTGGAATTCAAAAAACACAATGGAGAAAATTTTAAAGGAGGTCTTACAATGGATTTGCTGCCTCCTAACACTTTACCAGCGGATACATTCGTCCTATGTGATAACTAAAGTAGGTTCCAAATATTCAGATTGTGGTAAACTACACTTATTCCAAATGCACTGGAGTTTATTGTTGCTGTGGCAACAAACCAGAGCAACTGAGAACTGAGCAACAGCTTGCTGTAGCCGTGTGACATTAGAACTTTGTTTCGGCGGCACTTGGTGCCTGTGAAAAAATAATAATAAAAATATAAAAATAATTGATTACTTATGTAGCTAGTTTAAAGGGCGTCGGGACTGTCAGTAAAACGCAGATTCGGGGGTAGGGTCAGGGATCTATTGCCTTGGGTTTCTTTTGTTTTTCTTATGGTTCCCGGGGAAGTGGAGGATGTGAGCAGCGAAACTGCGAAAGGTGGGCGCTATACGAACCTTCGGAACCAGGTTAGGGACCTATTGATTTTTTGTTTTGTTTTCTTTTGCTTTCCCCCAGCTAAAACATATTAGTAAAATCCAACTAGTGGTCTATTATCAATGCTGCGGTCTGATTGGTTGAGAAACTACTGGGCTATGTGTTACAGCCCACTAGAAGCGAAAAGCGCCGGATTTTTGGCGGCAAAAAAGGATTAAAGTCTTGCTTTAAGTTGTTTTGTCTCGATATTTTTGACCAACTAGTTGTATTTTACTCAAACAGTTATTCCTCTCGCCCTCATGGCCTCTGAGTCAATAGCCCAGTCGGCCTTCGGCCTCATGGGCTATTGACTCAGAGCCCATTCGGGCTCGAGGAATAATTGTTAAAAACGAAAAACGAAGCAAGAAAACGATAGACTACAGCGAGGTATCTCGAGGTCTTACCCCGGTCATCTGCTCCATTTATACAGCAGTCACCCTTATTAGCTCCCATCACTAAGTAGTGCTTCTCGAAGATGTTCAAACGGCAGGGACTACGCGAAAGGTGAGCATGTTTGTTTATAACTCAGACATGACACAGGGGCACCCAACGAGAATATAGTTCAAACCACTTAAACATAGCGTTTTTAAAAGTATTTTAGTATTTTAAACGGTAGATATAGGCATATTTTTATCCCCTAAAACTTTTTCATCTGTTCGGATTTCCTAGCTGAAAGTCTAGTGACCCGAAAATTATAGGGATCAAAACTTACCTTTTCGAAAATTTCAACCAGAAAAAAGGCTCCCGAAAATTTTTGGTGACCTTTTTAGGGTAAAAATCCGTTAAAAATGGGCAATTATACCATTTTTTACAAGTTCCTAGGAGAGCCAGACAAGCAAGAAATTTTACCGGCAAATGTTCCGAAAATTCTAGATCGCAAATCGTCTTCCGAACAGGTATCTTCCGAAAATTGACGTTGGGTGCCCCCGATGACATACGTCTCCTCCTCTCCTTAAACTTTAGAGAACTTTGTTATATTTTGACGACCAGATTCATCTTGCCCTCTCACGGAACCAGCCAAATAATAATTATAAAATGTAAGTCAGCTTATCACTTTTCCGGATATGAATGGCATGCGGCTCGTTATACCCTTTCTGGGGAGCGCACCTTTTTAAGAGGGCCTCAGTCATAGGTCAAACGGTCTAAGATTTTAACCGTCAACCGTCAAAAAAAGGTTATGTTTTACTGTCAACCGCCAAAAATGCAGATTTGATTAACCGTCAAAAAGTTTTAAGGTATCTCAAATTTAACTATTTCAGGTTATCTTCACGGGATTCTGGCTAAAAAGAATCTCTTAAGTGTAAAGCTTAGTTCCCACATTCTCAAAACACACCCTCTCTAGACATTACAAGACCTTGCGACTTGCTTATACAATGGAGGGTGCACGCTTAATTGGGGGTCCGCTTAATGGAAGTTTCACTGTATCTGAAAATATTTCGAAATTTGAAAAACGAAAGACCAAGACAACCTCCGAGACGCAAAGGTTAATATTAATTTGCACAGAAAATAATATTTACTCTTGGAACAAATTTCTCCTTAATAACCGTCAACCGTCAGCGGTCCAAAGCTTTATAATTTGACCCTCAGCCGTCTAAATTAAAAAAAATTAACCGTCAAAGCTACCACCCCATTGGGACCTCGTACACTTAACCCGGGGGAAGGGTACTCGACCAATATTTGGGTATAGGTGAGCCGCTTCCTAAAAAACATACCTTGTTTAGGACAACACCCTCAATTTTAGTACCCTGTTTAAGACAATTCCCTCAATTTTATTATCCTGTTTAGGAGAAAGGACAAAGTGCGCGCCGTATCGCTTTAAAGCAGGAGCCCTTCACCTTTCTGTTTAAAGCTATTTATTGGCAATGGCGATTGAGAAAATCATGTTACAGTCATTGCTTCTTGAAGGTACAAACACATTCCCTGTTTAGAAAAGACTCGTGCAAAATTATAACCCTGTTTAGGACAGAGCAGAGGACGAAAACCAAACCCTGTCCAGCGGCACATCCCCGTATAGGCCATATAAGGGAGTACCCCTACCCTCCCCCGGGTACTTAACTGAAACAACGCGCGATATATGCAAGTCGCCAACTTACCGCTTCCTCATTAACGGGATAAGGTTTGTTGGCATTCTGAGGTTGGGATTGAATGACTTCTAGTCCTTTATTTTCTTCTCCAGTGGTGTGTTTCGGGGGGTTTCTCTTTCGGTTTATATGCTGCTTGGTGTAATACTGAATAATGGAAAATAGACAAAAAGTAAATTTAGTTGGTAGATTTTATAATGAGTATTGTAAACTGAATTATTTTAGAAAGACACATCTATGACTCCTCAGGAGCGTTTTGTTTTGTTTTTTGTTTTTGTTTTTTGTTTTATTAGCTTCGCCAAAAAAACAAACAAACAGAAAGAACATTGGCAGGGGACACCGCAATAGCTGTGGCCAATTACAGCGGGCCCGGATACTAATTTAAAAAAAAACAAATATTAAAAGACACAGGGATAAGAGAAAAACTACAGCTACATACAACAAGTTATTGGACGAGACAAGGGACAAGCACTATTACATTTCAAACAGGGAGACTCACAATCATAGGAAACAGCTTACGCGGACTTATAATAATTAAAAAAACCCGATTTAGAGGAAGCTAAGGTCGATGAACTCAAATCTACTTCATCCGCTAGACAATTCCAAATTCTACTACTTCTAATGAGAAAGGATGTCTGGTACGTGGTAGTTTTTCATTTCTTAATTATGCATTTTGTGCGAGGGTAAAGGCTGTAAGTAATGACTAAAAACAGCAATATCCTCCAGTAGCCCCTTAAAAACTGAACAATAAAAATATTATATTGGTGACTTACCACTATAACGAGGACACATATGAAGATGGCTAAGATGCCAACTGCTATTCCAAGAGCGATATACGTTCTCTCCATTTCTGTGAAACCTGTAGGCATTGGGGGAGCGTCAGCGCCTTTTGCTTTCACTCTGTCGATCTACAAAGTAATAGGAAATTTTAAAAGATACAGTGAACTCTCGCTAAGTCGGACATACCTCTGGGGCCGGTAGTAAGTGTCCGTCTTAGAGAGATGTCTGCTTTATAGCGAGTCAAATAAAGGGAATAACGAAAGGCAGGGACCAACTCTACTGTAGGTGTCCGTTACGCAGAGGTGTCCGTCTTATAGAGGTGTTCGTTAAGAGAGAGTCGACTGTATATCGGTTGAACTTATTGCTGTTTTGTCAGGTACTGGGAGAATTGATATGTCTATTGCGGTCTACAAACGCACAGCGCTTTTGCCGCATGCCGATATTCCAGAGGCCTTGTAGAAAACGTCATTTCTCAGGCTTGAACCGGTGTTCTTAAAAAGACGAGTGATTGCAAGAAAAGGGAGAGAAAGAAAGAAGAAAAAAAAAAATTCCAGACCCTGCTTCCAGAAAGCAGAAAACCTTACTTTGTTTCAGATCCAAAAGGCTGTGTATTTCTTGATATTGAGGACACTGTGTAGCTGAGTAGGTGTTCTTGTCGTGCTGTGGGCCTGATTGGTTTGTGCCTTTTTTTATTAAGTCATTTAGTGTCGCACCCACTGATCCACAACACAGGAAAACTATACCAAAAATTTCAGACCAAAAGGAGTCGAAACCATACCCTTTTGCGGCGCAAATAGCTATGTATATTTGTTATTAAAAACTGAATCATTGGATAATGCAATTCCTGCATAAATCCTTTATTAGCCAAGCCTCTTCGGTCAAGATGGCTCGATAGTGGCAAATACTAAAGGGTGAGTATACTTACTCCCCACCACTGTGTGGCCTGACGTCAATGCCAAAAATGGGTTACATTTGTAGTTAGTTGTGGTCCGTGCTCGGAGAGGGGTCACTGGATACTCTGCTTTTTTACTTACTTCGCAAACCGGCAACGTTTTCAAATCTCAGTTGGATCAAGAATAGGTTAAACCAGAGTTTTCTTGTCTCCTATGAATTATTAGGGCTAGGAAACAGAGGAAAATCCGAATCAAACTGACTTGAATACTGCTTAAACCTGAAAAGGGATTTCACCTGTTATCAAAAAGTTGATGTTCTTTCTCTCTAAATCTTTATTATTTTAATTGAATGATTGATTGATTGATTTGTCTGTCTGTGAGCAACAAATATCCAAGTCTTAACAGCGTAAACATACCTTCAGTTCAAACAATGGCCCAATTAGTCGTCCAAGTTTATTTTCTACCAAGTAATAGAGAACCTCGAACGTGTGTCTGGTGAGTTCCTTATCCACATCTTGGTAGGTTCCTCCCGATTTTATGATATAAAACAGCAAGGATGCCTTCTCTGTGTTGTTCCTTGCCGCAGGGCAGTTTTCGTCAAAATTGTTGAGATGCACTTGCGACAGTGTTATAAGATCGCCGTTCTTCTGAACAATCAATTCGGAGATTTTGGTCTTGAAGTATGTTTCCAAGAGACAAAACTCTTTCCAGGTGAATTTGAAATCCATTTGGATGTACACGGAAGGTAGCGGCTTAGATTGTCCTAAAATGAGGAAAGAAAATTCAGGTTTTACTGAGAATTCTAGGACAAGTGCTCCTTCAAAAGAGATTAACTCTGCCCCCGTTCCCCTACCATTTTAAGAACCAATTACGGTATGGCGTATACCGTATGCTTTATTTGGTTAAAACAGGGTGTTCAAAGGCGACCTAGCGTCTGAGCTGTTGATTTTCAAGTCCTCTTGTGTATCCCTTTACTAGTCATACTCAAAGCCCGGGCGGGGGTGGGGGAGGGAACTCCGATCCGCATATGAAAGGGGTGGGAGTGCTCGTCGGAAATTTTGAATTAAACTCCTAAAGGAGACCGATCCGGTCGTGGCCCAAGCTTTTTTTGACCCCTAAAAGAGATCATGTTAAAACACAGACAAATGAGAAAACTTGGATTATGAATGGAGAAAATAAAACTAGTTTAAAATATACATATCAAATATATATTTTTATATTTTTTCGCGTGCAACCCTAAACGAGACCTGCACGGCTAAATATGATGGCGTTTTGCCCAAAACACCCTAAGTGAGACCAAAATGCGAAATTTACACCCCTAAGCGAGACGACGAGCGTCCCCCTCCCCCCTTTCATATGCGGAGTCCCCCGCGGTACTCAAAGCGCTACATTGCGTTGTTTTTTCTTTTTTTTCCAAGGGATTGTTAGGTCGAAAACAAGTTTATTATCAGATAGACGGTGCTTTACTGTATGACAATTATCCTACTGTATCGTAAATTATCCGAATATTCATTACTGTGACCATGCGGGAAACTGAAAAACAAGACTGTCCTAAGTATCTCACGCACGTGTAATTATGAGCAAACAGTGACAATCCAACAATGCACTGACATACCTGATATTAAGGGTGGAGCACAAAGCAGCAGAACGAAAGCCATAGACATAATCCCCATCGTTTTTAAGTCCTACAAAACTGGAATGATGAATTCAAGATTAAAACCTGCTTTAACTGACAATATAATGCAAATGTATCGTACTACCTGTGTGAGGCATGTACCCTGCTCTGGTTTGTTTGCAACTGACCCATCGGAAGAGCGCTAAAAACTGATTAAGATGTAGACATCAAAAAACTGAAGAGTAATAATCCTTGCAACTGTCTTTTTAGGAATTTCGTTGATAAGCCGTACAAATATAATACTATGAAAGGATAGGCCCATTATTTAAAAGCCTGTTTTGTTTTTTCCCACTAGGTTTTTGATTGGCTTACATGTTTATTTTAGTACTCGCGGCAAGCCAATGAACTTTAGGTTAATTTAGGTTGGTTGTTTTTCCTCGCCGTAAAAATCCTAAAGACGGTTAAGTTTACGTACGTTCTTACCAGTTACGACCAGTTATCGAAACCCATACACATGTACACGCACAGTAGTTTTAAAGGACGCTAAAACGGGCGACAAAAACGTGCAACTTGCTTTGCAACATTACTGCAAAACGAGTTGGAAGGCGATGTCGAGCGTTACCCCCACAAATCAACCTGTCTTGCACAAAGCAGTTTGTTGTGGGTTGCGAAAAGTGGTGTTAAAAGTAGACTACTTTAATATCAGCAACAACTTTTCTTAACCTTCAACAACCTGATTTGTTACAAGACAGGTTTATTCGTTGGCGGTAAAACGCAAAACATCGCTTTTCAACTCGTTTTGAAGCAATGTTGCAAAACATGTTACACGATGTTGCTAAACATGACAGGTTGCACGTTTTTTTTGTCCGTTTTACCAAAGCTTTATTTTAGGTAGAGTTGAAGAGTATTTTAAAAACCGAACTTAACCATTATTGTAAGTTGTTTATATGCTTTACGGTTTTAAAGCAGTATACCCAAAAATCGCCGACTTTGGGTCCAGATATCTTAACTCCAAAGACTTCAGTGTCGTTGTTTAACTGGTGATGAACTTGTTTGTCTTTTTAACAATATGTTGGAACTGTGACACCTTTCTTGACCTCCTGGCGAAACCACAATAACAGTGCAATATATTTGAATATAATAATTGATTAGCCAGTTCCCCGAGGTGATAAACAAAGATGTTTCTTAATCTTAGATTATCAGGCAGTCGACCAGAATTTTCAGTCACAACTACCTTAAACGCTTGTTAAATTTACAACCTAAAAAAAATAAAACAAAGAGCCAAAAATTTGATATTGTTATAAGCTATGCCGGTGTTAGTCATAATTTGTTAAGAAAATTACGAAAATTAGGCCCTGACATTGCTTTGAAAATCAAACTGAATTTAGATTAAGTCAATCGTAGCTTAATTGCGGCTTTACTGACTTACCTTTAACTTAAACATATTTATTTAGCATACAGAGGAGAAATACCGTTACAAAGTTGAAAAAGAAGTTTAATTCAAGTACAACGATCCAATAAAGTTAGTGTAAGAATTCACCAGTACCTTAAAGACTTTAAGAAAAGTATAAAAATTCGCGTCACGATGGAGTTAAAGTCAACAACATTGTCTTAATCAAGTTCTTTCTGGAATGCACTCTTTATTTCTCTTTGTGGGCTCGCGAAGTAGGGGAATCTTTTCTTGAGATCTATATTCACTTTAATTAAAGTTTGGGGCCTAAAACTGCAACCATAGCTAGCATTTAACTCACCTGTAGGCAAATCCTACGTTTCAAAAGTTTGCCTTAAATTCACACCAAAAGATAACAAATCGCTTCGAGTTCATAGTAAATCTATCAAGATGCAGACATTGATGGGCGGACAAAACGTGATTAACAATGGTTCCTTATTATGATGTTGAAGTCCACCACTACGGATTATGATTGTGCTATTATTACTCAGTCAGTACTTGCTCAAAGTAAAGCAAATGCATGACCATGCATGCAAGTGGAGTGCAAGGAAAACTTTAAAATGTCAACTGTAATTGTACAAACAGGTCTTAAAAACTTAAAACAACTCTTTGTGGTTTCCAATAAGTTCCATTGTATGGGTTCATGAGTTCTAATTTTATAGAAATCCACTGTAATATTGGACGTATTTAGTAAGTAGAACATGCTAAAACAGAAACAACAATATTCAAACCTTTCCTTACCTTGCCGTTAGGATCGATCCGTTAGCTTTCGTCGTCGAAATGACAACTTATGCAAACTCAGTATTTATCAAGATATTGTTTTGGTAACCTTTGCAGCGTGAAGGAATCTGACCGTGGGAAGACTGCATATTGTAATTAGATGACGATACATTTATTTTGTAATATTAAAATATTCTAAAATTCACAATGGCGGGGTGGCACACAGAATTTAAATTTACTTGTCATGCAAAACAAATTTTGCCACCGTCCACTAAGATTCGTACCTTAAGATTAGCAATCAAGTTTGCAACCAGGCAAGTTAAATCCACCATTATCACGTTCGTGAAAGCTCTTTAAACTTAAGACAAAGCCGTTCTCAAGTTGTGCCTGAAGACTGATCAGACAATCTGACTAACATTACAAAACCTAAACGCAGGATCAGTGAACCATTTATTATCACCACCTGTACAAAAACCGAAGGCGGAACCACGTACGGTACATCCGTTGAGCAAACCGTTATCCAACTCGCCCCATTTGAGGGAATCCCAATTCCGGAATCCGGAAAAATTGGGAATAGAAAGCCTGTTTCCCCCACCCTTACCACCAACCCCCTTTATACTGTCCCTTCCTACTCTCACTTAGCCTGCGGGAGCAGACGCTTTTTTCGGGTTTACCTCGGTGTAAGAACCTGTGAACATTTTCTTTGTGTTGCACCTTTTGTTTTTCTGGGTTCTATTGTGTTTACTTCTTTGTTTTCTTCGTTTACGTCACCCGTTAGTTTAACAGGTTCTTACACCGAGGTTGAGCCCTTTTTTCGGCGGGTCAAACAAGAGCAGAAAAAAGCGCAAGCAAGCGGGCTAGCTCTCTCCACATTATGGGAGACATCATTGTTTACAGACACTGTTTTTGTTATGACAAATGAGTGAATCAAAAGCCGGTGATCTTTTGTTTCATGAACCAATGTGCTTCTAGTTGACACATTTATTTAATATCAATAGGTAACGTCAGCGTGAGTATCGCTATTGACCAGGATAAATGAATGAATAGATGTGTAATGTTTGACTTAGGAATTAAATTCACACTTGTAGCTTTTACAATACTGTAACATCTTTATGATCATGCAAATAAAGCTTTTGTTGTTGTTTTTTGTTGCCATGAAGCTGAGCGGGAAAGAAACATCCTTCTGTTTTTGGCTACTTTGGCCTATGAATTCCTTTATTTTTTTCTAGTTAATTCAGTATTTTCGCATGAAAATATAAATAATTATTATTAATAATAACTAACCAACTGCTATAGCGAGCGATTGATTTGAAGTCCCGTTTGTTACTAATGACCAGCTTTAGAGTTTCTGAACACATCTTATATACGAAAATTTCTAGGGGAAGTTAAATTAGGTAGCTCAGGAAACATGTGGCCAATTGTGGACTGATTTAATTTTGAAGTTTTACCCTTGTCATAATCTTCCAAACCCTGATTTGAGGGCCTGTTTCACATAAAGGAGTTTTCACAGGTGGACACCATGTTTTACACAACTTTATGATACTCGTAAAGAAGCATTTTTTTGAATTTATTGCCGGAGGAAAAGTGGGAATATCAGAGAGAGCCAGTTGTGTAAAGAAAAGAGTTGAGAATAGAGTTTAGTACCGAAGTAAAGTGATTAGGGCTAAGCCCTCTTGAACGGTTAGGTTAACAATAAAAAAATGTAATGAGCAATGCCATGAAATCGTAAAGTACATCAACAGTTCCTGGTGTCGGCAGTTAGCTCTTGATGGTGTAGTGGATATGGATAAGGATTTTAATGAAATGACGCGGGTTCCGGTCTCACATACGAGTTCAGTCTGTTTTCCTCCTTCTTTCATTACTTCAAGGTATAACACTTCTTTCACCTAGACAGCCTGATTTTGGGGTATCCATTTCAGTCACAACCGTTCATAATGGATAAATAGCAGCCCCTTTTGAGTCAATCTACAGGGGCGAGTAAGCTGTCCGCGCGAGACTGAAGGGAACGAACGAGCAGAGAAGAGACTATGGTCGCCCGGGCGGCAATCCTCCAGGGATTGCTGGCACTCCAAGTGTCGGTCATTTTAGACAGAAATAAAAGAAAGCCGAGAATGTCAAAACAACCATAAAGAGAAGGAAAAAAGGAGACTTAACTTGAATTATTTCGATCTACTGTTACTGATGTTATATTGAAGATATTGATTTTGTTTATGCAAGTATTTTATAAGGATGCTAAAGCGGCAAGTCTTTAGCATCGTAAACAATAGAAGTTTCGTTTTCTTGAAGGTGATTTTATATCATTTCGTATGACCCCAAGAATGCATGGAATATCAAAGAGAACTTACCTCCAAATTTCCATAACCTTTTGCCTAACGAGGTTTTGGCCCTAGTGCTGTTAGCACTAACTATATATAGCGGGTAACTTTGAAGTGAACTTTGAGCTCGGCGCCACGCAAATTAATTTTACATCCACGAATATAAGTCTGACTGAGGTATCATTAGTTATGGTAAAAACCGAGCAGGCTTAAAATCTGAAATTTAGACTCGGCAGTTCCTCGAGTAAATCAAAGCGAATCAGTGATACGTCACAAAATACCTATCTTAGTTAGATCTTAACAATACTCACACTTGAGCCAGCTGATTTCTTGCCTGCAATTGCCGCGAACGATAAAATTCCTTTCCGCTTTCTTTCTCGTTTTCGCGAGGATGTCTGATTACGAAAGCGTACTGAATTGAAATATAACAACGGCCAACTGAACTCTGATATCTAGTCCTCCTGTGATATACCTAGATTTAATGATTATGCATACAACAAAGCAAATAATAACGCGTTATGATTTTTATACAAAAGAGAGATAAATGTGTAAGCTTCATACGTCATCAAAAGTTACACACACTGTTCAAACAATCTGGCAGTTGATGCTGTCACTGAAAAATGATGGCATTCTGCCGTCTCTATACATTAGCAGAAAGGGACATGTGGCTTATAACAGGAAATGTGGCACAAAATTTCAAGCAAGAGTACCTTATAGTGGTAAAAAGATTAACTTCTTGACTGCTCCCAACAAATAAACTTTTCTGCCTTTGGTGGCCTTTGGTGTTCTCGAGGTTATAAACAGCACTTTCAAACGTACAATAATTGTAAGGTGATGTAAGTATAAGCAGCCTAACATTTTTCAACTTCCATTTTTCATCTCATGTCATCTCAGTTCAAGCATTTATTTCATACCTTCTTTGCGATTTTGAGTATCTACTGAAGCATTATAATATATAGATTTAGCCAGTACTAAAAGCGAAGCTCTCGATAATATTTCGTAAAGTTTGTTCAAATAAAATATATAATCGTGTAATGCTACGCGCGGAGGCAACGCCGGAGAACGGTGAAAAACAACAATAGGTCTAAGTTGCAAAAATGCAACTTTGCACGTGCAGCACACTTTTTTTGTGCATTTCTTTGTCGTTGTTTTGCACGACTACAACGTGAAACTTCCAGAAACGTCTTAGTTACACGTTTTTTGGAGGAAATGTCGTACGTGTTCTCGTTCACTTGTTTTTCACTGCCGCTCATTTTCATCTTGCATTGGTGGCCGCTAGCATTTCTCATTTTGTCACCGCCCCTACAAAATTTTCATGTTGTTCTTCCAACAAAAAATGTATCCTTTGTTATATTCGCGTTGAGCTTCGCTGGCCTGCCGCCTACTTTCTCCTTTTCTCTGTCTTTCTCTTTCTCTATATTCCAAATTTGTGGACATCTACGCTTAATACTTTAGACATCATGGATAAAGAAACAATTTCCGCTTTCCGTTTTCGTCTTTATTGACTCTTTAGTTGTCTCTGCTTTACAAGACGTGGGTGGCAATGCGATTTCACGCCAAATAACCTAGAGTTGCATTTGGGTTGCCCTACCTGTTGATTGAGTTATTTTACATTGGTATGCCTGTTGTGCCGACGGACGGTCGGTCGGTCGCTCGGGCGGTGTACGGTCACGTGATTACCAAATTTTCTGGGATGGGTAGATTTACTTAGCTATGGGGCTCCGCACGCGCGCTTTGCGCGCGAGTTGAGCTCCGCTATTAGGGAGCTTAAGCAAAGACGTTTTTGAGCGACGCACGTCAACCGGAAGTGAGGCCTTCTCCTTTTTTAATATGCCTGGACACTACCAAATTTGTATTGCAGAGTTTCTTTTCTCCTATAAAGACGATTTACCTAAGGGTTTCAACCAAACCACAGCCCAATGCTGCAAAAAGTCCACTTCCGGTTGTCGTCCGTCGCTCAAAAACGCTGTTGCTTAAGCTCCGTATTAACCACTTTAATACTGAGACTTTATTCAACCACGTGCATTGAAAGTGGCTTTTCAGACGATAATTTTTGCGAAAATTTTGGACTTCATGTGACCCAGATATCATCATTCAAAGACAGTGAATTTAAAGATTTTTGCATGAACTTTTGTTTATGTTCAGTTTTCAGCGTTTTTATTGAAAAAAAGTACGCCTCGCTCAAAGGGGAGGTCCGTGGCAACCCAGATCCCCCCTAGCTACGCCCCTGTCCTGGTAGCCTGCGTAGCAAGCGTTTCCGTGCAGTTTACGAGCAAGGAACGGGGAACGAGAGTCAAAATAGCGCTCGTTTCATTTCTCGCGCGGCCAAAGCCGAGAATCCCGTTCCTCGGTCTTTCTTTGCTCCGAAACCAGACGAAAACGCTTTCGACGAAGGCTACTGTCCTGGACGATCATCTCCACCTTGCGGACAGTTCGTTTAGTCCTCATGCACATTAAATGACACCTCTGTGATGTAAACGCTAGACCCTATGCCTTTCCTACTCTCGGTATGAGAGGTAATTTTGACAGTATATTTTTAGGGATTTCAGTCGCGCGTAAACTGAAAACATACCGTAAATCCTCTAATTAGCCCCCTCCATTTTCAGAGGAAGAAAGTTAATAAGACCCCCATCTTTTCAAGCCCCCCTCACCTCCCCCTTAATATTATTATTATTATTCACGACTGTCAGGAGTCTATTGCGACTGTAAAAATTCCTTTGGACTGATCCAGAATGGTTTATTCACCAACTTGAAGCTCAGATTTGTTTTTGATCCTCGTCTGTGTATCCTCCAAGTTCTTGTACTTTAGCTTTTCGACTTTGCCTAGTTCTTTATGGAGAACTGATACCATTTTCTTTGCTAAATTGAATTATAAGCCATCCCCCCTCTCACATAAGCCCCACGTCTTTATTAAGCTCTCTCCTTCTCAAATGTCTTGCCCCGAAGTGCTTAAAGGAAATTTAGAGAACAGGCTGTACACCAATTCGGAGGTTACTACTGGGCATTAAAAGCGAAAGAAAGTTTTTTGGTGAATTAGTTCTTGATGCTTTTTATATCAGCATTTATTTCTGTGTATTTATTAGGAGAGCAAAGTCACTATAAAGACGTCAGTCATGTTAAATTCCAGTGTCTTAATTTTTTTATGGGGATGATCAATTGCGTCTCTTTCAGTTTGATTTGTTGACACGCGGTGGCCTACTAGATAACGAGCGGGATACTTGAGGTTGATTCTTGGCCTGGTCAACTTAATCTTGTTTTTTCCCTACCCACACTGTCCCCGTCACCCAAGGATTTTTAATAGCTTGACTAAAATGCTTAACATGCTACTTAAAAAGGGATAAATTCCAGCTTCCAGTTTACTGCTAGAAACTTTTCGGTCAGTTTAGTTGAGGCGACAAGTCTAGAGAGAGTGAAAGGGCCAAGAGGAGACTGGCATTTTTTCTTGCCAATTTTTTTCAGTATTGGCCTCGCTCGATTTACTCACTCACACGACCATCCCAAGGGGCTGCTCACATTCTAGCTGCTCACAGTCTCGCTTCTCAGCTTGCTTTTCAATTAAACAATAATCTTACGCTGGAAACACTGCAGCACTGCTAAAACAGTGGATGAGTCTTTTCAGACCTTGACGATAGTTGCTACTGAAAGTGAAGCAGATAAGAGGATTTATAACACAATTTGTGTAGGCTAAAAACGTTGTAAATGTCACGTACTCTATTGCGCTACAAGGAACTGAAAAGTCCCATGCAAACATTAGAAGCAACGAAGTGACAGTGAAAGGCACCCAGCATATCACAAAACCTAAAACAATAGCAATGGCCATCTTTAGCACGCTTTCGTTTCTTCTCGTGCGTTGTTCCTCGGCGTTGGTCGACTGCTGACCTGGATGCACTTGTGATCTCAGTTTGACAAGAATGTTGCAGTACAGCATCGCCAGCAAGACGATTGGCAGGTAAATCAATACAGTGAATCCTGCCAGGAAGTAGTTTGCAAGCGATAACGAGTCTCCAAAAGTCTCTTTCCAAAGCATTTTACAAGTTAGCTTCCCTTGGTATTCTACCAGTTTGTAGACAAATAAATATGGTGAGTGATAAGCCATGGCAATAACCCATGTGGCGAGAATGAAGAAGGGACACAGTCTTAGCGTGATGAGTGGAGAACGAAGGGGAAAGAACACAGCGCCAAATCGATCCACTGCTATCAGAATCAGACTCTGAACGGAAACAGTTGTGGACGTGTCGGATAGGAAAGGAGAAAATTTACACAACGCTTGACCAAAGCCACCACCAACAAGCCAGGACCGTTCCGTGTATAACAGCGCTGTATTGCGTGGAAACAGGAAAATTGAATACAGCAAGTCGGACATGGCCATGTTTGTAACGAAATAATTTATCGGTTTCCTCATAGCTTGTGTTCTGTACACAATTATTCCAAGGGAGGAATTCCCGACCAAAGAAAAGACAAGTATTAAGCAGTAAGCAAAGGTCTGCCCGACCTTTCCTGCTGTAGAATTTAGCTGACTTGAGCAGCCCGGTTCGTTTACTGTGGAGTTCATGTCGGCAGACTAATACAAACAGGTGAGACATCCACAAGTTTTAAGATGCTGATTCAAAAGCACGCCAAAACTGAATTTGTTAAGTAAATATCATCTAAAGACGAATTAATTATTACTAACTAGTTTTGCAAATTTTCTTTCGGGGTGACACAAAATTAAGTTCCCCCAAATAAAAAATTCCGTGAAAAGATGTAAAATTTAAAACACAGGAAGTTTGAATGCAACTTCTAAGGATCGCAAAATTAATTCCCAAGGGAAAGAAAAAAAAGGTCCTGACCTATTGAAACAATTTAAAACTGTTCCCCACAAAATTAAACTACTGCCAAAATTTCGTGCCAAAGGGACAAATGCAATTTTTTAACGACAAAGGTTTTGTTTATTCAGTAGATCGCAATAAGTGAAGGGTTTGAGACATTAAAAGCAGATGTTTTAAGAGCCCATGACTGTAACTATCGAGAATCGCTGGCCAGGCTAAAAAAATAAAAAAAATTCTGATAATTTGTCAGAAAAACCCCTTTGGGGAACTATCTTCGAAAAAAATATTTTCAACTTTCAAGAATCTATAGTTTTCGAGAAAATGAGGAAAAACGAAAATAGCGGTTTTTACCTAATTAATTATGCAAAAATTAGAGTAAAAATGACCTACTTTATCGCGTCTATACCGAGGCAAGATTCAAAGCTATAAACCAGTAGTATTTTTGTTTAAAAGCATTCTATCTTTTCTTTCTATCCATGGTATGTTTTAAACCATAAACTTGATTTTGAATTTTTAACGGTTTTTTAAAAACTACCACCAAGCGCACTTTTTAAAATGGCTAAAAAATGAGCAACTTCAGAGGCAAAAAACTCACCTTGGTATGTGTGATACCTAGCCAAAATTTATACTAGGACAAAGTTCAGCTCTTATATTAACAGAATATGAAATAAAAAATCTGGGTACACCGGATTCGCCTTTACAAAATAAAAAGTTTCG